AGGTAACCTACCTACCTACCTACCTGAATAGGGCCAGTCGTCGTTAGTGAGCATCAGATCAATTTTCATGGGAAACTCAATAGGCTTTTAATGTGGATATGCCAGATCTGCGCCACTATTGAGAATGATTTTGAGCCATATCGTTGTCACCAATTGTTGTTTCCGGTCATTAGTTCTTAGAATCCTGGGGACCGCAACTACACTATCCTACTTGGCTGATTCCATGTTTCTTGGTTGGACTATCATTAGCTCTTTTTGTTCCAACCTCATCCCATGTCAGCTAACATTGCTCGTCGGTCGAGGAAGGCGATGACTAGGTATGCGTAATACATGTTGTCCTAACCACCACCACCACCACCCTAATCGATGTAGCTTCACAACGTTGACGTCCAAAACTCACCCTGTTATACCATCTAACATGGGAGACAGAAGAACGTGGACACCTATGATCAAAGACAGCTAACCTTTCCTCATATCTTTCAATCTTAATGGTCATGTCTCACAGACATAAAGGAGGACGGAATGAACCGCTGGTGAATAGTTATTATTATTATTGTTATTATTAAAATATTATTATTATTCCCTTGGGTTCCTAGTGGAACATAGGGCTTCAACTGCACGTCTCCACTTGCTTCTGTCCTCTGCTGTACTTTTCACCCGTATCCATGTCAATCCATACTGTTTCAACTCCTCTTCACACGATATCCTCCATGTCACCCTTGGACGTCCCACTCGCCGCTTCCCATGTTAGGTAGCTCACCATTACTGTGCACTGTGAATTGTTGGTACTAGATGGTTGGACTCAATCGGCAGGAAGCCTTGGACCTAGGTTTCGTGCTAGTTGGCACTCATCAGCAAGGCGTATCTACAACCTTGAAGGAACTGATGTCCCTTCTGAGATTCGAACCCGCATCACCCATGGTGGCCACATTGCAAGCATGACTGATAGAATTCAGTCTGCACCGAAGATAGGACTAGACACATTACACTAGTTACTGACTAGTGTGCAATCAAAAATATCCAAGACAGTCACTCCTACAGGAGGTCAGTCGCGAGCCCGAATAGCTCAGTGGTAACGTCTCTGACTGCAGCACTGGCTGGTGACGTGGGTTCGAATCTCAGAAGGGACTTGAGTTCCTTCACGGCAGTTGCAGATACGTCTTGCTGACTGACTGGTGAGTGCCAACTGGCACGAAACCTAGGTCTAAGCAAGGCTTCCTGTCGATTGCCTCCAACCATCTAATACCAACAGTACACATGTTTTGTTTCTCTTCTTTAAGTCCTAAACATATTACATCATCTTAAGTGTGTTGACGATTTTATATTTTATTTTTACTAGTTCAGACTTTCTTTTTCTCTCTTTCGATATTTCTGATTTCCTTGTCTTTATTTGTTTGTTTATTCTCCATCAATCATCTTCTTTCTCTCTTGACACACAATTTCAAGAAAAAAATGCGTTGGCTAAAGAATAATTTGTCTAAAGATTCTATGTGCGCTACTGATTGGTAGTCACATTTATTTATATATGTAAATAAACAATACAGAGTATGTTTTTAACTAAAATTCTGTTCTGAATATATTTTGCAAAGTTTACATTAAATATCATATGAGGATATTTTAACGCAGATTTTTTATTAGCTTTCCATATATCTGGGATAAGTGTTTAATCATTTCTTTTGCATTATGTGGTGGAGGGGTGACGGATGAGATATGCAACCGTATAATGAAGGCAAGGGTGGCATACATCAACTTGAGCCACCTCTGGCGCCGTCGCGACGTTATCCGGGCCTTCAAAGGTCGGGTTTACAATGCTTCGGTGCTGGCTGTCTTGCTCTACGCCTGTGAAACCTGGCCTCTCCGAGCTGAGGATGTGCGGTGGCTCTGCGTGTTCGATCATCACTATCTCCACAGGATTGCTTGCGTTCGATGTCATCATCGCGTGAGTAATTCTGAGGTTCAGTGGCATGTGTTTGAACACAGTGGAGATCACCATTCATTGAGTGTCGTTATCTGGAAACACCGGCTCCGGTGGCTTGGATATGTGTTTCGAATGTCATCCCAGAGGCTTCGGTACAGGTCTCTGTTCGCTAGCCAGCTCTGGGACGGGATGGAAAAGGCGGATGGGTGGGCAGTCCATGAAGTGGCGTCGTGGGATGAAGGATATTTGTGCTAGATTATCACCGGTTGGTGCGTCACGACTCCCTGATGGGGTCCGCGAGATAGCTCGAATCGGTGGCTCGAAACGTTATCGGATATGGCCAAGAATCGCCAGTCATCACTGGCGAACGTGTTGCAATTTCCTTCTTTCTTCCCTTCCTGATGATAGTTGACGAATACTGTTTGAACTTGTTAAGTATGGCTGTTTTCCTTCCATATGAAGTTCTTTATCCGTTCTCTACCCATATTTTTTACCTTCAGCCTATGTAGCTTTATTATTATTGTGTGGCGCATCTTTCTTGGTGCCATATTGTACCTAGTTTTTTTTGCGTTTAAATAATGATAAGTAACAGTGTGTTTGGTGTTGATTCGATGAATGCGTCGTCCTATAATTGATCTCCCTGTCTCTCTCTCCATCTCCACCTATCTGTACTACTCTTTAATACTTTTACCCTTTTCCCATCGTATTGTGTGGTTACATGCAAGGGAATAATGCAGTGCAATGACCCAGCTTTTCTCTAGATTATTTAACTTAACCGAGTCAATCATTCTAGGTGTCTAGTTCAAATTTTTATCTTCCGATAATCTAGTTGATCCCCATCTACTAGTCTGACCTATATAATTGGGTTTATCAGATGTTTAAGCCTATACGATTTGTCTTATGAGTGAGTTGGTTGGTTAGTTGATTTAGATGCCACCCTAATCCCAGCCATTTGAAACCAGTACTAGAGTACTGAACACCCCTCACCACAGGGGGTTCGAACCCAGGACCTTCCGGTTACAAGGCGAGCTACTGGTAGACCATTTTTAGCCACTGGGACCCAATCCAATGGCTCATGAATTTTAACTCATACTGATTCGCGATCTATACGGTACAACCTCCAGGTAATGTCATAGTCGCGAGTAACTGGGCATCTCTTACCTGACTTGATTGAGCCAACTGGTAACGACGTTTCACTAGAACTCCTGGGTTCGAACAGCATTAGGTGCGTACTGCTGAAGAGTTCCAAGGTAGACTATAAAGAGATGATGACGTAAGCTACTGTGTGTTGTAAAGTCTCACAGAGTGTTATACAGGAATATTTACTGATGACGACGTTTCGAGCAGAATTTATTGTTCATAATCATATCAAGGTAATCACACGACTTCCTAAATTCATTTATATAGTTCCATTGTTTTCACTTGATTTTCACTTGATTTGATTGGTAGTAATATTTTCCATATTTCGGGTATGAGTGCTGTTTCATTCCTATTGCATGTGTTGGGTGTAGATTCGATGAACAAGGATTCAGTAATCAACCTCTCACGCTCCCCACCTACCTAGATTACCTTTCAGAATTTTAACCCTCTCCCACTCTATTGTGTGGTTGTGTGTTAATGCATGCATTGCAATTGCTGAGCTTTTTTCTAAATTACTTATCTTCTCTGGGTCAACCATTCTTACCTTAGCTAAATTCTTATGTTCTGACAATCTGACTACCCCCGGACCTACTAGTTTGACCTACATAGTTGACGCCACTCACAGTCATTGCAGGGTATTTTGTAAATAATATTATTTTGTCAAATTGGTCCACTGGGTCTTTTAGCCTACAGAGCTTGTCCAACCCTAGTGAGTTTGTAGGTTTGAATGCCACCCTAATTCCTGCTTCATTAAGAGTCATACGTAGGGTCTCAGATGTTCCCTCTTTATATGGTATAACAGTAGATGACTTATATTCTCTCTTATTTATGTTATCACTACTAGTTTCACAGTTATTTATATTTTGCTTTTGGCCTTTTTCGACCTTCCTAATGAATTTTATAGGATACTTATTTAACGCCGACGCCTCTTCTATCTGTTTTATTTCATCATTTAGGTCTTTTCTTGTGCCACTTAGTGCTACTAATTGGTTTGTTAGAAACTTAACTAAGCCTGCCTTAACAGTTAAAGGATGAGATGAATTAAAGTCTAAATATCTATTAGAATGGGTTGGTTTTTTATAAACGTTAGTGTGCAGTTTACCTTCTTCTGTTCGTTTTATTTTACTATCTAACATAGCTAATTCTCCTTGTTCATTTTCTGATTCAAATGTGAATTTTATTCCTTTTACTAGTGAGTTTGTGTGTGTGTGTGTGTGTGAAGAAACTGTGAAAGTGTCATCCACATATCTCCACCATATTTTTGGAGTAGGATTAAATGTATTAAGAGCAATATTTTTCCAGCTGTCCATAAATATATCTGCTGCGATAGGGGATATTGGTGATCCCATTGCTACACCTTCAGTTTGCCTATATATTTTGCCTTGGAATTTAAATATAGTAGATGTGAGGCATAACTGAATTCCTAAAATAATTTCCTCAATGGGCAGCTTCGTCCTATGAGTGAGTCCAGAATCTGCAGTTAGTTCTTTTCTTTTAACTGCTTCTAAGATCATTTTTATTGGTCAGCTTACATTGCCCTTCGAGTGAGGAAGGCGATGTCTAGGAATGCATGACGCCGTGTCTTAACCATCTCAATCGATGTAACTTCACAACCTTGTCGACTGATTTCCCCTCCTTGCCTAACTAACTCAATATTTCTCGCCCGTATTATACCTTATCGAACTTTGGGACCTCTACTGACTGAAAGCCGAGTGATCAAATTCAATGAATCACGTCTCCATTCTTGGATGCATTTTTTGAATTATAAAAGTCAGTTCGAAGTTAGCTTTTATTGATAGCCAAATAACACTTAGTTGTCACGCTTAATTATTCTGTTTATTAAAGCATTGTCGTTTATACTAATGAAGGAAAAAGATAATAAAATTACAATTCCATCTTGCATTAAACTGTTTTGTCTTTTTCATTTAAATCTATTTTATAGCATCCACAATCATCCTCTGGTCTACCACCGCCTTATCCAGCACCAAGTAATACTGGAACTATCAATCGACAAATGATGGCAAACCAACAACAACAGCAGCAAGGCTATTATCCATCTTCAGTAACTCCTAGTGGTACTACTTCATTGAAACGTGAACCTCCAACTGGTGGCGGTGGAGGTTCCCTGCAAGATGGTTCAGGTTATGGTAAGTAATCTGCGCAAATGTTTTGGTAGTATACTTCTTTTATACAGCCAGCCACTTCTCTTTATTAGTTAGTTTGAATAAAGACAGAACGAATACAAATATTTGCAGACAGGATAGCATGAGCTCATTTCATTTCATGGGTTCTCTTCAACTGTGCACTTCCCAAGCAAAATCAGCTATATTTAATTGAATTTTAGATTTTTCCTGTCTATTGATTGGACCGAAGTGCTCGGTCTCAGGTTGACATGTCGGCTTCTTGAGCAGATGCTTCGACGATGTCTGGGCATTTAATTAGTATTTAATTGGTGGATGGTGACTAGCAGTGGAATCCAGGATAACACGCATTTCGTCCTATTTGGGACTCGTCACCTGGATGTACCTGCATGTACCTGCCGAGACATCGTCGAAGCATCTGCTCAAGAAGCCGACATGTCAACCTGAGACCGAGCACTTCGGTCCAATCAATCGACGGCAAAAATCTAAAATTCAATTAAATCAATATGACCCGTTGCACAAGAGGTGGCTCTCGTGGCCCAAGTTGTCTAGTGGATCACGCTTTGGCGTTAGAAACTGTGGGCACTGGGTTCGACCCTCTGTGGGAACATCATCACTCACTGAGAAATGCATGCACATCCAGATGACGAGTCCAAAATAGGACGAAATGCGCGTTATCCTGGATTCCACTGCTAGTCACCATCCACCAATTAAATAAAAATCAGCTATATGTTACAAAATGGTGACTGAACATACTTTTGTCCACAGTGACTTCGAGTTATAGACAGAAAGTATAAGCAACCTAAATTAAAAGTTGATGTAAGTGGACAATTATTCAGTGTTAAAAGGGTTACTATTTATGTGATAATTAGACGAGCGGATTAGACTTCAAATTTTGCTTGGAAACATGGATGAAAGTATATTCTATTTCAAGTTTGACCACGCATGGACCATGATATCAGTTAGAGAACCATTGAAAGCCTAACCAGGGAGTACTGCCCGCACACAGCTGTTTTGTCTTAGTCTTTTGGGACACTTCGACACAGTATACATCATCCACCGGAGTTCGAATAACGAAATCAAATCCCTTATGCGCTTGCTAGTGACTAGCGGCCCAACAGGACAAAGTTTCCTGGAGTTCTAATGAGAAGTTGTGAGCACTTGGACCTAAGTCAATGCAAGAACTGGCGCGGAATTATGCTCCTGTCCATCCCAAGCAGAATACTAAGCCGCATCATCCTGGAGAGAATCAAACATGCCAACCTGGATGAAAAACTTCGACCGGAACAGGCTGGATTCAGGAGAAACAAGTCATGCATTGATCAGATCGCCACATTACGGATCATCATTGAACAAAGCTTGGAATGGTAGTCACCTCTCTATCTCAACTTCATTGACTTTGAAAAGGCCTTCGACAGCGTCAATCGAGAGTTGATTTGGAAACTACTTCGCTACTACTGGGTGCCACCGACAATTATACATCTCATTCAACAGCTATACGACAATGCTGCATGCCAAGTAATCCACAACCGGAAACTTACGGAACCCTTCGAAGTGAGGACAGGAGTTAGACAAGCTAGCTGCCTACTATCGCCAATGATTTTCTTGATTGCAGTAGACTGGATAATGCGACAAACAGCCGGCAATGAGGAAACATGCATAAAATGGACTCACACAAAAAACTTGGAGGATCTGGACTTCGCCGATGATATATGCCTGATTTCCCACAAACTGGAAGACATGCAAGCGAAAAGCAACAAGTTGGCGATACAAGAAGCATCAAAGATAGGACTTCAGGTAAACATAGAGAAAACAGAGTTAGGTGATGAAGATTCCTGGGCAACACCACCAACAGCAACAGCAACAACTGACAACAATCAGCATAAATGGAAGGAACCTGAAAGAAACAACCTCTTTAACCTACCTGGGAAGCATCGTTTAGACTACAGGCAGATGGAACTGACGAGGATATCAAAGCAGAGGGGATCGGGAAAGCAAGACAAGCTTTCACTACTCTCAAGTCTGTGTGGAGGTCAACAGCAATCAGCATCAAAAATAAGATCCAGATTTTCAACTCCAATGTGAAGTCAGTCAGTGCTACTATACGGATCAGAGACTTGGCCATCGCGTCATAAAGAGCATCTCAAACAAACTACAGACCTTCATTAACAGTTGTCTTCGCTCAATACCACTCAAGATCAGATGGCCGGCCAGAAAAGATCAGCAACAGGGATCTCTGGCAATGAGCGAACCAATTCATCAGGAACCGATTGTGAAAGAAATAGGCAGGAAGAAATGTAGGTGGATTGGTCATACTCTGAGGAAACCATCAAGTGCCATCACTAGACAAGCCATTGCTCGAGTGGAACCCGAAAGGGAATCGGCGAGTTGGTCATCAGTGCGAGGGTGGGTGACTTGGAGGAGGTCATTTGAAGAGGAGATGAAAACGTGTGGGCAGACATGGAGCCAAGTGAAGACTCTAGCATAGAACCGAACGTAATGGAGACGCACGGCTGAAGCCCTATGTTCCTGTAGGAATTAAAGGATACAATAATAATAATAAGTAGGAAATGAGGGCAAGTACTCGGCAGTGATGACATTGGTTGGTTGGTTGGTGCCAGTCGTGCTAAACAATCAGTAAATGGTAGAAGTTAGAATTCATGGGTTGACCATTGAAGAGTTGGATCTCAATGGCTGAAGAATGGTCTACGAGTTTGACTTGTGACCAGAAAGCCCTGGGTTTGAGAACCTGTGGGTCCCAAGCTAGAGTAACGAGAGAACTGTCCAGTAGTCCACTACTCCCTGGATTGTTTTCAATCATTCTCTACTAGATATCAAATCTGTACAAACTAACTCTTGTATGCAAGTACTTTTTTATTTCATTTATTTTTTTTAAATATCTTCATGTCACTTTTTCTACAATGTTACAACAATCCTCTAGGTACATTATTACAACGTGGCGGTCCGTTAACAGCATCTATGATGACTGATCCATCGATTGGTGGAGGTAGTGTTGGTGGTGTTGGTGTTGGTGGTGGTTCTGTTCCGCCAATGATGAATGCTGTCTATTATCGAGATAGTCAACAAACATTACATATGTATCCTAATGGTATGAGTACGCCTCAGCCATTACAACAACAACAGCATCATCAAGGAGGAGGGGGAGCAGGAGGAATTTATCAATCACATCAGCAACAACAGCAACAGGCGATGTATATGCAACAACAACACCAACAACAACAAATGCAACAAGCACAAATGTATCCTGGGTATTTTAGTCCACAATCACAGCAGCACATGGATTCTATAGGACATGGGTGAGTCGGATGTGATTACATTCACTGATGATGTATGTATATATGTGTTGAATTGTATTTACTTTGGTATATATTAGCACAAAAAATACCTAAATGATGAAATAAAACAGATAGAAGAGGCGTTGGTGTTAAATAACTATCCTATAAAATTCATTAGGAAGATCACTAAAGGCCAAAAACAAAGTAAAAATAATTGTGAAACTAGTAATGATAACATAAGTAAGAGAGAATATAAGTCATCTACAGTTATACCATATAAAGAGGGGACATATGAGACCCTACGTGGTAGGATTCTAAATAAAGCAGGAATTAGGGTGGCATTTAAACCTACAAACTCACTCAGGGACAAGCTCTGTACGTTAAAGGACCCAGTGGACCGAATTAGACAAAACAATATAATTTACAAAATACACTGCAATTACTGTGATCTACGTCAACTACATAGGTCAAACTAGTAGGTCAGGGGTAGTCAGATTGTCAGAACATAAGAATTTAGCTAAGGTAAGATTGGTTGACCCCATGGAGATAAGTAATTTAGAAAAAAGCTCAGCAATTGCAATGCATGCATTAACACACAACCACGCAGTAGGATGGGAGAGGGTTGAAATTCTAAAAAGTAATCTAGGTAGGTGGAAAGAGAGGTTGATTACTGAATCGTGGTTCGTCGAATCTACACCCAACACATGCAATAGGAATGAATCATCACTCATACCCGAAATATATAAAATATTACTACCAATCAAATCAAGTGAAAAACAATGGAACTATATAAATGAATTTAGGAAGTCGTGTGATTACCTTGATATGATTATGAGCAATAAATTGTGCTTGAGACGTGGTCATCAGTAAATATTACTGTATAACACTGTGAGACTCTATCAAAAATAAAATTTACGCATAATGGAATTACACTCTACCACAGTGCCCAAGTTTTATTCTTGTATATATTAACTACTCCCTTGGGTTGCCATTGGAACAATAGGGCTTCAGAACTACATCGCTATTTCACTTTATTCTCTGGAGTTCTTCTTTTTATAACTGGTTCCACGATCTCCTCCATATTCACCCTCGAACTCATACCCAACTTGTTGCTTCTAATTTGGGATTCCACTCGAGGGCGTGGGGGAGGGGGTATGCCAAACGTGTAAGTAACGTGTTACTGAACTATCTCCAGCGATAGCTACTTGGTTGGTTTTGTTGCCTGATGGAGTTCCTTTTCAGTTGGCTTGCTGATCTTTAAGTATCGAACTATCGAAGAGGATTAGTAGTAGCCCTGTTAGAGATACTGTTTGAATGAATGCCTTTAAGGTCGTTTTTCCCGGTTGGTTTCAACACTAGAAATTAACACTCATGATTGCTGTGTGGTTATCTATCCACATCTAACCTGATGACCAGACTGTTCTTAACACCGTCCCAACAAATGAAGGGTAAGTATATAACGCTTACGGCTACTCAGAGGTGTATATTTATTAACGATGTTATGAAGAGGGTAAAGAGATACACAACAAGGCAGCCGCTGAGCTCTTGTCATTTTGATGAAAATCCAATTAACCATTTTGTGTTCTAATCCTGACAGACCACAATAAATTGATTGTTGACGGTTACATAGCTGAGGTTCAATTGAATCGATGGCCTTTTCTTTGATCCCCAGCATTTACCCCCTCCCCCACAAACTCACACACACACACCAGAATCAGCTAGAGCTGATTTGATTCATTGGGAGAAATTACTCCTCGCAGGTCTGTCTGTCTGTATTCGACATAGAACTTTGCACCGATGTGCGCCAGTTCAAGTCGCCACACTCCCTCCTTGTAGCACACAAAGCAAGAGAAGAAAGTAGAAGAAATGCACAAAAGAGACAGTAAACAGAGGTGAGATACAAAGGAATAGTAATAACGAAGAACAAAACAGTTTCATTGGAAATCATAAGTCACAAGGAGTGGATGCATCTGCGCCAGCCATTGAGAAGGATGAGTTTGAGCCATATCACCAATTGTTCCCAGCCACTGGTTTTTACCGTCCCGATGACCCCAACCAGGAAGTCTACACCTTCCTACGTGGCTTACACTAACTGTTGTAGATTTCATTGACTGGTGACATGCTTTCGTTTGACCGCCGCTCACTCTTTTCCAGCTTGACCCTATATCAGCTAACATTGCCCATTGTCGAGGAAGGCGATGACTAGGCAACTACGTAACACATGTCCTAACCATCTCAGTCGATGCAATTTCACAGCCTGGTCGATTGATTTCCCCTCCTTACCTAGCACTCGACCGATGCCTGACCTCAATATTGCTCACTTTATTATACCACTTCATGCGGGAGATAAAACGCAGACGCCTATGATCGAAGAAAGCTAATCTTTTCATGTCTTCCACTCTCAATGGCCAGGTCTCACTCACAGCCATAAAGGAGGACGGAGCGGATTGCTGAGCAGAACACACGCCCTTTGGTCGATAGTCGGATATCACGTCTACGCCAGAGGCGGCGTAAACTGGCATATGCGAAACTAGCCCTCTGAGTATATGCATATATATATATATATATATACATAGTGAATCTGAAGCAGAAATCAGAAGAACGCCGAAAACTGGCCAATAGGAAGAGTTCTTATTCTTAGTAGATGAGTACCTACACACGCAATAAGATGATTCATAAACATTCAATTTTGTTGTTACTATTTTGATTTAGTTGTGTTCCCTAAGGAGCTGGTTATATCCACCTTCTTTCTAGACACACAACATGACTTCAGTTCAGCTCAGGTTTTAGAAATAAATCGTCTTCTTCAAGAAAAATCAATAGCCATATACAATTTCATCAAAAAAAGTGTTTAAACTTAAATTGTAACACCACCACCACCAACAACAACAAGAAACCATCATCAAAGATCGTAAAGAAAATTCATTATTCTACCTTATATAAAGCGTATCTCTGAAATAAATGGCTAGAATACACTAATACTTTAACAACAGAAGATAAGGGCCAGGCAACAGATCGTTTATTAAAGAAAATCAACACATATTTATAGATTTTAATGTACATTATTGTAGATTATTGTTAGTAGAAAACACAATCTTTTGATTGGTTGTTTCTCACAGAAAGTTAACCTTGCATCTCTTTGTGGCTGTGTCAGATCATCCATATGCTAACTGTATCCGCCTACGCAACAAAGCCTTTGTTCTCATTTTCTCACCACCAATATTGGGGACATGTAAACATTGACGTTAATTACTGTCTACCAACTTTGACTAGCAGTCAGCTCTCACCACAATACCTTTTGAAATAGACATTGCACACAAGAAAGCTGCCAGTCAGCACAGTCACTTCATTCGATATAGTGTAGACCTAAATATGCAACCAATAGAAAAAAAAGTATAAGATCAATACCATATCAATACAAAATAAACTGCGGTAAACATTGCATCGATCAAAGTGGGTGGTGGTCCCCTTCGTAACAGAATCCGTCGACATAAATAAATCAGCTGTGAGAAGTCGCGATATGTATTCTTTCGCATCGATTCATGCAGATAATTATGGACACTAATTCGACTCGGAGAATGTAGAAATTGTAAATATGGAGGAAGGAACAAAAATAATGGCTGGTGAATTTCTAGAAGCCTGGCACTCAAAAAAACAACAACAGAGGTTAACAGATCCATTGATATAGATCAAATTTACACCAACTAGTAAACAATAAGCCCCACCCCCCCCCCCCATATGACAATAAAGTTCAAATTCCAGGTCAATAAAAATGATCAATGTAAATTGACAACCAGTCATGAAAAAATGGTTGTCAGGACATCCAAATAAATACCATTCTAATAATAATAATAATAATAACAATAATAGGTAAATTTTGTCTTGATAAAGTCTCACAGTGTTCTACAGTAATGTTTACTGATGAAGTTTCGAGCACAATTTATTACTGCTCATAATCATATCATGGTAATCACACGACTTCCTAAATTCATTTATATAGTTCCATTGTTTTTCACTTGATTTGATTGGTAGTAATATTTTCCATATTTCGGGTATGATCGATGATTCATTCCTATTGCATGTGTTGGTTGTAGACTCGATGAACAAGGATGCAGTAACCAACCTCTCTCGCTCTCCACCTATCTAGATTACTTTTTAGAATTTTAACCCTCTCCCACCCTATTGTGTGATTGTGGGTTAATTCTAGGGAGAGGGTTAAAATTCTAAAAAGTAATCTAGGTAGGTGGAGAGAGAGGTTGATTACTGAATCCTTGTTCATCGAATCTATACCCAACACATGCAACAGGAATGATTCATCACTCATACCTGAAATATGGAAAATATTACTACCAATCAAATCGAGTGAAGTGCGTTGGTGGCATAGCGGTTAGGACGCTCACCGACCATGCACATGGTCCGGGGTTCGATCCCCGGCCGGTGCACTCCTTTACCTAGCTTAGCCAGAAATAATGCTGGTGAAGAGGAGAGGTTGGGCATGGGGCTAGCAACCCCATCCTGTAAAATAAACACTGCTACAGAAACTTCAAGCCACTAGCTTGAAACCGTGAAGGAAAAAAAAATAACAGCTAAAGTAATAATAATAAGTATAATAATACAAGTGAAAATTGCCGTGGACTTGTTTCACATAGTATTGTTGATGTGGTATACAAATCCTCACATGTTTAAAAATATTGAAAATAATGTTCTCTTTACATGATATGGTGAGGGGAAAAACAAAGAAAACAGCAGTCATGGAGATTTCTAGAAGGACAACAAAAGCGTTGCAATTAAATCATCAACCGGTTGAGACAAGAGAACTAAATCAAAATCGTCCTCCCCTTAGCTACAAATCTTCCCCTATTATCATTGTTATTATTATTCCACGTTTGATCACGAGGATGACTGTAAATCAACAGGGGGGGAGTGCTGGACACCTGTTTTGTCCTAGTTTCTTGGGACTTCTCCAGCTGGCAGTTGAACCTAGTCAGTACCTTCCGGTTACAAGACAAGACGAGCGCGTAGACCATTCATCAGCCACTGGGACCCAATCCAACGGACAACCCAAGGATTCCACCAGCTCCTGCTACTGTTATAGGCACGAGTAACTGACCATCTGTCACCTGACTTGGTGGAGGACCCCACTGTTTACGGCTTCTCACTGTAACTATTATTATTATTATTATTATTATTATTATGATTAGATTACACTGTTCAATTGTCGGAATCCTTAAACTCTTACTTAATCTCTACAACATGATGATTAATGTTTCTTTTTTCCATTTAGGCATCATAATTTCAATCATACTGATGGGGAATCCGTCTATTCATATTTCAGTCAACAAGATATGACTCAACCAGCTGGACATCAACATTTAAATCCTTTACCAGAAGAGAATCAAGTAAGTTCTTTGCCCCCAACCCCCACTTTTCATTTTGTGTGTCATTGTCTTTGTAATAGAAGAGGTGTACTCAAACCCATGTGAAGCCTTTCACTGCTGATATGTACCACATATTTTCAAGTGATATTGAGGTTAAGCGCGTATATAGGGTGTTAGGTAAGGAGGGAAAGTCAGTCAGTCAGTGAGCAGCTTGTGAAGCTAGCTGTATCTATGGAGATTGTCAAGGACATGTGTTGTAACCCTATGCTGTGAGCTATCCGTCTTTGTCGAGCAGTGTCGGTGGCACAGTGGTTAGGACTCTCGCCGACCATGCACATGGTCCGGGGTTCGATCCCCTGCCGACGCACACCCGATATCTATGGTCGGCCTGAAATTTGGGCTACCGATATCCATGCTGAAAATGTCATACTTGTACTGAAAATACGGTGTGGCATCAAGCTGTAATCAAAAATAATTTTAAAAAATAATAAAAATAAATAAATCTGATGTTAACAGCAAGGATGACCAAACAAACAAACCGTAACATACCTGTCTGTCTGGATTCAACGTAGAACTTGGCACCGAAGTGCAACAGTTCGAGTTACCACGTTCCAAATAGCTCACAAACGTAGACAAGAAAATGAGTGAAGAGAATCAATAGAGTTTTGACAAATATAAGAGTGCAACAGAACGAGTAATGGTAGAAAAGAATATGAAAGATTACAGAGACTGAATACATCTGCGTAAGCCATTGACAACGATTTTGGGTCATGTCACCTATTGTCTCCAGCCATTGATTCTTAGAGTCCCGAGGGTGGGCCCCAATTCGGAAGTCTGCATCTCCCTCCCTACCTGACTCAGTTTAAGCGGCAAGGATTTCATGGATTGATGATGCCATGTTTTTGTTTGGCATGGCACCACTTACTCTTTTCCAACCTGCACCTACCTATATCAGCTAGTAATGCCCGTCGGGGTGGGGGAGGCGATGGTTAGGCATGCGCAGCACGTCACCTAGCCATCTCAATCTATGTAACTTCATAGCCTCTTCGATTGATTTTCCCTCTTTGCCCAACACTCTACACCTAACGTTAACATTACTTACCTTATTATACCACCCCCTAACGTGAGAAAGAGATCGTAGACATTTATGATCAAAACAGTCAAACTTTTCATGTCTTCAACTCGTATTGGCCATGTTTCAGAGCCATAGAGAAGGACGGAGCGAACTTCTGAGCAGTACACACACTCCTTGGTTGATAGCCGGATGTCACGCCTACGCCAGAGATGGTGTAAATTAGCGAAAGCAGCTTGAGCTTTTTGGATCCGACTGTAAGATACCATCAATAATTAGGTGGTTGGAAGCGATCGACAGGAACCCCGCTCCCGCTGCCTGGCTCACCTTAATTTCCTGCTTGTTAACACTCATCAGTCAGCAAGCAAGCCGAATTGAAACGGTAAAAGACGAAGTCTTGGTCAAAGGAATGTTTATTTGAAAATTGGTATATCTCTATATATAGTCAAATTATGTATACCTTATCTTCAACGCCTCACCATTTGCACCGATCTTCGTGTTGTTGTTGTGCTAATTCTGGCTTTCATATTGTATGTGTTTCTTTGTGTCCCTTTCACGTTGTCTCCCATATATCTCCACAAGCAACGCTGTATCATTTGCCTTCTCTGAAATCAAATGTATCTCCGTGCTATTTGTTGTTTTTATGCTGATGAACGTCTCTTCATATGCTACTGATACACCTTATCAGTAGCATTCGCCACCGTATCTCACTCCCCGATTCTGAGATTCGAATCCATCCGGGTTATGCAGTACTACCTGAAGTCAGAGATGTTACCACTGAGTTATTCGCGCTCGTGATTGACCTCCTGTAGGAGGAGGATGAGTGTATTGGATACTTTGATTGGACACTAGGGTAGTTAGTAACTAGTGTATCATGCGTCCAGTCCTTTGATTGTTTTATGTGCAGTCTGAATTCTGTCATTCAAGTGAAGTTTGCAATGTGGCCACTGTCAAGCTAGAAGGTGGATTGACATCAGAATTGTTGTTGTTATTAGATGGTTAGAGATATCATCGGCTGTGCGTCGTCGTCGGTGGCACAGCGGTAGGATGCTCACCGACCACGCAGTTAGTCCGGGGTTCGATCCCCGGCCGACACACTCCTTTACGTCGCTAACCCAGTAGTAAGACTGGTAAACAGAGAAGGTAGAGTATGAGGCTAGCAAGCCCATCTCGTAAAAATAATCACCACTGTTACGGAAACTTCAAGCCTCTAGCTTGAAGTCCTATGTTCCAGTAAAAGGAATAGAAAGAAATCATCGGCAGGGAGCCTTGGATCACCTAGATCTCGTGCTTGTTGGCTGGCACCCACCAGTCTTTGACCGTTGGCTTGAGTCAAATGGAGGGATTTAGACTGCCTGGTTGAGATAGCTTCTATAATCCAATAAAATGGTTATGCACTGGAGATGACATCAGCAAGGTACATATATCCAGTCTGGATTGGCTTATAGAGCCATTTTAGTGCTGCTAGTTTAGCTGCAGAGAAGCATCTTTTTCTCCTGTTCCTTTTATTCTCTTGTCAATTGTTTTGTGATGATACTGCTTCTCCTTTCAATAGGAGATAAATGTGAACACTTCCTTCTTTTCAACAGTTCAGTGTTTCGTTTTCTCATTCTTTTTATCCTTATACTTTTGGGTACTCATTTTCTCAAAAGCCTATTTCCTTTTTTCCCAGTTGTTGTGAAGTGAACATAGCTTGCTGACCTCACTAATCCATGCTTATAGCTTCTTGTAGGACAGAAGGCATTGTAGCGAAGATATGTTGTTTTCTCTACCATTACTTTGAAAATTGAAGGATGACTGACTGACTGACTGGTCTCAGCATAGAACTTTGCAGAGGTTTGCACTTGTTCGAGTTGCCACTCCCCCTCCTTGTGGCACACATAGGAAAATAAAAGAGATGTAATAAACAGAAGTGTAAGTCAAGGAAGAGAGTGAATGATTCTACGCCAACCATCGGGAACGATTTCAGATGTCATTGGTTCCTGCGATCCCGAGGAATCCAGTCTTCACCTCCCTACGTGGCTTGCTGGCTTAAACTAACTGCTATGGATTTGTTACAGGATTTCCTCATGAACTGACAGTGGTTAGGGAATGATAGGAAAACCAGTTAGGTAGTATTGGACAGATGTTTCGTCAGCCTAGTTTGGGAATCTTCATCGACAGTACGCACCCACCACAGGGGTTCGAACCCAGGGCCTTATGGCTACAAGGCCAAAGAGCACGTAGACCATTCATCAGCCACTGGGATCCGATTCAATGGTCTGCCAGTCCATAAATACCCACCTCTGCCAATTCATGCAAGACATAGCGCGACCACAAGCCAATGTCTTCTTCGATGAATAACTGTCCTCATCTCCGACCTGCTTTACCCTTCTAGTCACCTGTTCCCCACTAGAACCCCTGGTAACTACCTACCTGAATAAGACCAGTCGCTAGTGAGCATCTCATTGATATTCAAGTATTGGTTTGTAGGGATTTGATTGATTGGTTACAGGATTTCATCATAAGCTGACATCGGTTACAGAGAACCATTGACTGGTGAAACCTTGTTTTGGTTTAACTACTACCACAAACTATTTTCTGACCTGATCCTATGCCCATTGTCGAAGAAGGCGATGGATGACTAGGCATGCGTAACACATGTCCTAACCATCTCAATCAATGTAACTCCACAACCTCATCGATAGATTTCCCCTCATTACGTAACACTCGATGCCTAGCCTCAATAACAGTCACATCGAAGTATATTTATTTTGCGTCATTCTTTTTGATAACGATTGTTTTTTCAGGTAGTGGTGTGTGCAGCAGATGAGGGAGAACCTGTGAAGTAGAATGATAATATCATTATTATTATTGTTGTTCCCTTGGGTTCCTAGTGGAATATAGGGCTTCAACTACACATCTCCACTTGCTTCTGTCTTCTGCTGTACTTTTCACCTGCATTCATGTTAGTCCATACCGTTTCAACTCCTCTTCACACGATCTCCTCCATGTCATCCTTGGACGTCCCACTCGCCGCTTCCCTTTCGGGTTCCACTCGAGCAATGGGCTGACGCGCGATGTCACCCAGCGGCCTCCTCAGCGGGTGAGTGTCCAATCCATCTCCACTTTCTCCTGCATATTTGTTGGGCGATTGGTTCTTGTTTTGTTTGTTCCCATAGTTTCTTGTTGGTGATTCTTTCCGGCGGCCATCTGATCTTCAGTATAGAGCCAGCGAAGAAGACAGTTGTTGATAAAGGTCTGCAACAGGCTGTTGGAAATATTCTCTTTGACCAGCCAAGTTTCTGATCCGTATAGAATAACTGACTGATTTGACGTTTGTATTGAAAATCCGAATTTCGTTGTTGAGTGTTGCTGAGTGACGAAGATTTTCAGATTGGTTTCAGGTTGATGAATGTGTTTCTCGCTTTCCCGATTCTCGATTTGATATCCTTATCCGTCCGTTCCACCTGCCTGTAGTTGAGATAATGCTCCCTAGATAAGTGAATGAAGTAACCTCTTTCATGAAATCCCTCACGTTGATGGTGATTGGCGCTGGATGTTGCTGTTGCTGTTGTTGTTGTTGGTTGGTTGGTTATTTTCATAATAATATCATTTGATGCTGCAAATTTGGTCTTTCTTTCTTTATCTAAAAATCGTGTTTTATCTCTTTTTCTCTCCCTCTATCCATCTACCTACTTACCTACCTGCCTACCCTACCTACGTTTTCCTTTGAATCCATAATTTACTGACGGAAAATAAACAAACTGCCTTCCAAAAAAAAACGAAATAGTTGATTGTGCTGATTACACAACATGTTTTGATTTAAAACATGCTTATTATCATAAAAAGAAGCACTGGTATAGTAAACTCTTTATTACTTCTTGTCTTCCTCGTTTCATAAAACAATTAAATTAAGTATACTATTGGCTCCGTACATAAAAAAGAATAATAAAACTTGCAGTTAATAGCTGTATGCTGATGTAATTTTCCATGTTTTTTCTTGTATGGTAGTGTTTTTATTGCTGTGGCAATGATGGGGGGGGGTGTTGGCGTACAGTTCATCCTAATAGTCAGTTGGTGGTGAACAATTCAGGCCATACAGCTTACACCAGATTCGTCTTTTAAGATTATCTACAAGATAAGATCGAACAGTACAAAGGAGACGTTAGGTTTCAGCATTTGTGTGTTTATGTGTGGCGCGGAGGCGTTGACGAGACAGATACAAACTCGAATTCTGTATACAACAGGAAAAGTTTGTCCAGTCTCTTATCCTATCATGGTTTTAACCTCTTCATTAGTCGTTCGCAGTAAATGGGAGGAACCTGAAAGAAACAACCTCTTTTACCTACCTACCTGGGAAGCATCGTTTCAACTACAGGCGGATGGAACTTACGAGGATACCAAAGCAAGAATTGGAAAAGCAAGACAAGCTTTCATTACTCTCAAGTCTGTGTGGAGGTCAACAACACTCAGCATGAAAAATAAGATCCGGATTTTCAACTCCAATGTGAAGTCAGTCAGTGCTACTCATTATACGGATCAGAGACTTGCACTGCGCGTCATAAGAAGCATCTCAAACAAACTACAGACCTTCATTAACAGTTGTCTTCGCTCAATACTCAAGATCAGATGGCCAGCCAGAAAAGATCAGCAACAGGGATTGATCTCCAGCAATGAGCGAACCAACTCAGCAAGAACCGATTGTGAAACAAATAGGCAGGAGGAAATGGAGATGGATTGGCTGGTCATACTCTGAGGAAACCATCAAGTGACATCCCTAGACAAGCCATCGCTCGAGTGGAACCCGAAAGGGAAGCGGCGAGTTGGTCGTCAGTTCGAGGGTGGGTGACTTGGAGGAGGTCATGTGAAGAGGAGATGAAAACTTATGGGCAGACATGGAGCCAGGTGAAGACTGTAGCAGAGAACCGAACGCAATGGAGACGCACGGCTGAAGCCCTATGTTCCTGTAGGAATTAAAGGATACAATAATAATAAGTAAATAATAAGTAAATTTTTATAATTAATTCCCATTTTTTCACTCTCATGTGTTCCTTTCGTACATTATTTCCTCACCCTCTTGACGCTTGTTAAATGGACGCACACTCAACTACCTTTCTTTTCACTAAAAACAATTTTGAACTTATCAAATATCTAACGCTTTCTCACTTTGTGACGTTGAGTATTACGTAGTTCTCCAGTTTTTTAAAATTTTACTTTTGAAGCCACTTCTTAGTAATTATTAAATCAATTATTCCAACCCCACCCACCCCCGTCGCCTATTACTCAATAATGGACTAATATACGTTTTCTTAGTAACTGTCAATACAATGATGCAGCCTGTGAAGAGAGACAATTTTCTCGATAAAGGAAATTTTCTTCGCTGATGAATTGTCTTTTATATTCTTTATGATTCAATGAGTACTTCCAGTGTTTTGCAATTTATTTATTCCCGTTGAAGAGAGAGAGAGTAATGGACAGTACTGTCGCATCCTAATTCCCGGACTCATCGTCAGTACTCACTCCACTGAGCTTCAACCGCCATCCCCCCAGAGCTTCCAGTTACAATACCAAGTTCGTTGATCATTCACAGTCACTCACTGGAAAGCGACTCAATTGCCTATGAATTCAAAAGAAATCTGTTATTGGACTTCAACTACCCTGGTGATTCATCCCTTAGTAGTAGCTCTTCGTTTTCTCATTTCACTAACTTATCTCTTCACTCCCCACCCCTCACCGCCGTTCCCCTTCTTCTCCTTTTGAATTCCTGACATTTTGAGTTCAACCCATTACATTATGAACTTGAGGTTGTGTTGTGTTTCGAAAAGTCATGTGATCGGGGCCTTTCACCAAGTGGCGGACGTGTATGAGGTCGGGTAGGTACTCACTGATAACACTGACTAGTGATATGATGGCTTTGTATCGCAAAAAAATCGATAGAAGTCTATTGTCCTAGGTCATTTGGTTCTTCAACCTTATGGTTTAATAATAACTTGCTCATTCCGTTACCAGAAGATGGCGAGTTCGACCCCAGATGCGGGGGGAGGGGGTCATGAGTGTTTCGTACTGAGGAGTCTCAAACTGGAGTGAAACATTCTCGTCTATTCCTATCTGTATCAGGTCATCGTCATTATCTTCTTTTCATTTGACCTCTTTTGCACACCAGTTTTTAGTCTTCTGTCATCATCAAACTCTACGTAACTGTTACTGATATTTATTACCACCACCCTAACGACCAATGAAATAAAAGTGGATCCATGGACTACTATACATTTTTTGGTAAATATAAATACGATTGTGTACAACCTCTGAAAAGAAGTGATTTCCTTGATAAAGAAAATTTTTAAGTATTGGTTTGGTAGGGATTTTGTTTGATTGCATGGAGAATTTCATCATGAGCTGACATCAGTTAGAGAACCACTGGAAAACCTGGGAGTACTGGACAGCTGTTTCGTCCTACTCTGGGACTCTTCATCAGTACGCGCCCACAGCTCGCCTTGTAACCAGAAGGTCCTGGGTTCGAATCCCGGTGGGCGCGTACTGCTGAAGAGTCCCAAACTAGGAAGAAACAGCTGTGCAGTACTCCCAGGTAATCCAGTGGTTCTCTAACTGATGTCAGCTCATGATGAAATTCTCCATGCAATCAAAGAAAATTTTCTTCGCTGAACATTGTCTTTTATTGATCTTGTTTTCTTTCTTCTGATTCCTTTATTTATTTGTTCAACAAGATGAATCAAGGTGAAAATGCTCCAGGATATGTAGACTCTGGAATTCAAACTGCTGATATTAATGGTGGTGGTGGCACAGCAGCAGATGCTGGCGGTAGTCCAGGAGCAGGTGGGGGTGGTAGTCATCGACATCATCGTCGGAGAAGACGTAAACAATCACAGCAACAACAAGAACGTCAAACTGGAGATATGTCTGGTGGTGGTGGAGGATCTGAAGCACTTCATGACTCTAATATTATACAGGATAATGGTCCCGGCGGGGGTATGGAGCGTTTACAGAATCAATCCCAATCGATTCGAGACTCTCAAATGGTAAGTTTTGTTTAAATAGTTTACAGTTCAGAGTGTTATGGTTTACTTGTGAGGTTTAGGATGATTGTGTTGGCGGGGGAGGGGAGTCGAACTCTGGATCACGTGAGAAGCGTGGTTGGCGAGTATATTCTACTGCTGAACCGCCGACGCGTCTTGTTGGGTTATCCATGTGTTAGTGAAAATAAGTTTCATACTGTATGACAACATTTCATCAACCGTTTTCAGAATCATCATAAAAAAATAAAGTCTTCACCTTATTTGACTTAACTACACAATGAACTTAAAGTTGCGTTTAGTTTCGATAAGTCATGTGATCAATAACTTCCACCAAGTGGCAGATGTGAATGAGGTCAGGTAGGTGTACTCACTGATAACACTGACTAGTGATGATGGCTTTGTATCTTCTTCTTTTTCGACATAGAACTTTGCACATATGTGTGGCAGTTCAAGTCGCCACACTCCACTCCATGTAGCACGCAAAACAAGAGAAGAAATGCATAATATAGACAGTAAACAGAGGTGTGAGACAAAGGAATAGTAATAACGAAGAACAAAACAGTTTCATTGGAAATCATAAGTCACGAGGAGTGGATGCATCTGCGCTAGCCATTGAGAACGATTTTGAGCCATGTCACCAATTGTTTCCAGCCTTCATTGGTTTTTACCGTCCCGAGGACCCCAACCAGGAAGTCTACACCTTCCTACGTGGCTTAGACTAACTGTTGTAGATTTCATTGACTGGTGCCATGTTTTCGTTTGACCACCGCTAACTCTTTTCCAGCCTGACCCATCCTATATCAGCTAACATTGCCCATTGTCGAGGAAGGCGATGACTAGACATACGTAACACATGTCCTAACCATCTCAGTCGATGTAACTTCAAGGCCTTGTCGATTGATTTCCCCTCCTCACCTACCTAGCACTCAACGCCTAACCTCAATATTGCTCACCTTATCATACCACTTCACGTGGGAGATAGAACGCAGACACCTATGATCAAAGACAGCTAATCTTTTCATGTCTTCCGCTCTCAATGGCCAGGTCTCGCTCACAGCCACAAAGGAGGACGGAGCGGACTGATGAGCAGTACACACGCCTTTTGGTCGATAGTCGGATATCAGGTCTACGCCAGAGACGGCGTAAACTGGCATATGCGAAACTAGCCCTCTGTATTCGTGCTGAGATTTCGTCGGAGATCAACCCGTTGGGGCTTTGTATCGCGAAAAATTGATAGAAGTGTAGTGTCCTAGGTCATTTAGTTCCCTAACCTTATGGTTTAATAATAACTTGCTCATTTCATTGCCAGAAGATGGTGAGTTCGACCCCAGATGGGTGGGGGTCATGAGTATTTCATACTGAAGAGTCTCAAACTGGAGTGAAACATTCGTGTATTCCTATCTGGTTTTTGAGCCCCTAATGACCGAAATGTACCTTAACATTCATATTGAATATGCAGAAATGTGTATCAACCACATATCAAGTGACTCACAACGGAAATCTCAGCGAGGCGTTTGAAGTCGATACAGGAGTAAAACAGAGCTGCTTATTATCACCGATGACATTCTTAATTGTGGTGGACTGACTGTGGGAGGTAAGAAGACAGGAATACGTTGGACTGGTCGACAAGAAGTCTCTAGAAGATCTGGATTTCGCGCGTGGACGATTTATGTTTAGTGTCACACAAACTCGAAGACTTGTGGGTATGCAGATGAAAACCAACAAATTGGCTGAAGAGGCAGGCAACAAAGACAGGAATTCAAGAGAAGACAGATATGATGAAAACAGTCAAGAAACAGCACCAATCACTATCAACGTGAGGAATTTGAAAGTGGTTACCTCCACTTATCTAGGCACCGTCGTCTGAACTACAGCTAACTCCACAGATGAAGATGTCGAAGTCAAAATAGAAAAGGCAAAATAAACTTTCATCACTCACAAATCAAGTTTGAAAATCTTCTGAACTTTTAGCATAGACAACAAAACTCGGATTTTCAACACCTAGGTTAAATCAGTCATTTTAGAGACTTGGCGTTTTTCCATCGTCGCGAAAATCATTTCCAACAGGCCACTGCAGACTTTTATCAACAGCTGCCTTCTTCGCTGGCTCCTCACTGAAGATCAGATGGCCAGCTGGTTGACCAGAAAGTATTAGAAACAAGAAACCCTTGGAGGCAATGAACCAACAAATATGAAAATGAAGATGGATCAGAGAGGTACTGAGGAAACTGTCGGGTGACGCTGCATGAGCCAGGCCATCGCTTGAGTGGAACCTGAATGGGGAGCAGCCGATGATTTGAACGTTTGTCCAAGTGCAACATGGAGATCCTCATGTGGACAATCATGGGGCCAATCAAATAAGACTGCAGAGAACAGGGTCAAATGAAATTGTACTGTTGAAAGCCCATTGTTCCTCTAGGAACCCAAGAGAATAATAATAATGTGCAGAAATAAAATATAAGGACAAGAAGCGGTAATAGAATCAGACTTATGAATCCCCGAAAAATCATCAATGTAGTAATAAAAGCATGTCTAGTGATCACCCATTTCCCCCAGGTTATTAAAAAGACAATTGCAGCGAAGAAAATTTTCTTTTCGACGAAGTCATCATCTAGGCTGTACATTCGTGTATTTATATCAAATGGATGGGAAAGTTCCAGAATAATTTCCGGTTAAGGGTTAAATTAATAAAAATTACAATTAAGAATTAGAATGCCATAATAAACAGGGGGACGGATAAAACTCGAACAAAGTAGCATTATAATAACTAAGAAAATTGACACTGATTGTGCAATTAGGGATTAGAAATGTAGAAATAACAAAATATACAGGATGTTTGGATAAAAAACTAGTGTGACGAATAATTGTTTATGCAATCAGGGATTAAATATGTAGAAATAGTAAAATGACAAAATAAACAGGAAGAGTGGATATGAAAATATGGTAGTGTAGACAGAGATTAAGAAAACTTAAAATAACATGAATAAACAGGAAGTTTAGATAAGAAAGGCAATGAGATTGTCATTACTAAAAAAATTTTACCTGTTTATGATGGCAATGGCAGGGAGAGGGGTTGGACGTAATTCTTTTGGATACAAAGCGTGGGTTTGAGCTTTTGGATAGCTAGCGCCTCAGCTATACCCAGATGTCTTGATTTGACTCCCTTTGACTTCGTCGAAAAGAAAATTTTCTTCGCTGCAATTGTCTTTTTAATAACTCCTATGACCCAATGTGTATATTCCCCTAGGTTGTGTATAGCTTGTGGGTAAATATAAAGAAATGACATAAATCTCAATGTTCGAGCTTCTATCTATTTTACTCTCTCTTCTCCTATATGTCAATGATAACTGTTTAGAGATGCATCTCATTACATTTGTTAACTTTAGCATTATTTGGCTTATTAATCAATAGGTTGAGTGGAAGGAATCTCAATGGGAAGCGACGAGTTTCTATGCTAGTTAGAAACTTGGCCAGCGTGTTGTCACGAAAAGGATTTCCAACACCGTCTGTTACAGACCTTTATCAACAGCTGCCTTCGCTCCATACCGAAGATCAAACAGACAGTCCGCCATTCAGAATTACCAACAAGAAACTCTGGCGATGAACAAACCAACCGAGCAAGAGCCGATCGCGCAAAAAATAGGTAGGAGAAAATCGAGACGGATTGGTCGGGCATACGCCACTGAGGAGGAGGCTGTCAGTCGAATGGCAAAGCGCGCAATGCAGGCCATCGCTCGAGTAGAATCTCAATGGGAAGCGACGAGTGGTTGGTCGGTGCTAGGTTGACATGGAGGAGATCGTATGGTGAGGAGGAGGGGATGAGAGACTATGGGCGATCGTGGAGTGACAGTGCCAAATAGAAGAAAGTGTAGATGTGTTGTTGAAGCCCTCGTGTGTTTCACTCGGAACCCAAGGGAATAATAATATAATATAGTCAATAAGCCAGTGAATTCGAATTCCACCACTCCATTCCACCTCGATTTTGGGCAAACCAAGCACAATGGTATCAATTACCCCCTAGTCCATTAAAAAAGTCCATTCTTGGCTACTGAATTCATTGGTATAATCTTTTATTTCGATTCATTACTCTAACATCAGAACACAAAAGTGAATGGCTGGTAACGGAATGTTTATTTACAATCTGATATACACGTATGGAGAAATTATGTATATCACCTATATTGGAAACGTTACTTGCACAAATCTTCTGCCTTTCCTTCATATTGTGCTTCCTTGTCTTCTATTCGTGTCTCCCATGTTTCACTGTAATAATGGTTCATTTCCCCCCCCCCTCTCTCTTTGACATCAAATCTATCCACTATTTGATATCTTTTGGTGTCGATGAACGTTTCTTTACTTATATATACTACTGATAAATCTTATCAGTAGTACGCGCCGCATTATAATCACTACTTTTATTATCATAATTTTTTTCTCTCCTTTTGTTCAATACTTCTTGTGTTAAACAGGATTTAGGAATGCAAAAACGACAGCACACTTTATCATCACCTGGACCATATTCAGATACAGATCCTATGTTATCTGGTCAATCGAATATACCTGGACTGCATTCATATCCACATAATGCTAATGGATCAATGGAACCTCCACCGATGTCAAGATATATTCGTTATGGTAAGTGCAGCTGAGAGGTGGAGAATTGTAAATCTACTGCAATGTTGTAGGAATTCATGGGGGGCTGGTCATTGGATTGGGTCCTAGTGGCCGAGTTTGCCTTGTAATAGGATGGTCCTGATTTCGAACCTTGGTAGTGAGTGCGTACCGCTGAAGAGATTCAAGAGACTAGAACGAAACACCAGTCCATTCAGAACTCCCATGGCTTTCTAACCGATGTCAGCTCATGATGAAATCCTAAAAGGTTTTTTTTTCACTGTTGACATTTTTTCTGGTTAGCGTTGATTTTTCCCTCACTAGGTCACATAGAGCTATTGTCGATTAATATTTGAAAATCTTGGACGTAGAGAAAATATCACTCAATAAACTCCGGTGTACGTCGGCGGTTCAGTGGTAGAATGCTGACTGGGCACGCACGTGGTCCGGGGTTCGAGTCCCTGCCGCTAAGTCCCTCGCCAAGCCAGTAATATGGCTGGTAAGGAGGAAAGGTTGGTCATGAGGCTAGCACACCCATCCCGTAAAACTAAACACCACTGCTACCGAAACTTCGAGCCTCTAGCTTGAAGGTGCCCTATGTTCCACCACTGGGAACGTAAAGGAATAAGAAAAAAAAAGATTAAACCCTTGATACTAGGTGGGATACTACTAATAATAGTCCATTCACCTGTCAGGCTGTTATGTGTGAATACATTTCACTTGTCCCTGACTGACTGACTGGCCGGTTTCAACGTAGAACTACTTCTCTCAGATGTACAGCCGTTCAAGTTGCCACTCTCCTTCCATGTAGCACACAAAGCAAGAGGAGAGAGTAAAGAGAGATTCAAAAGAGAGAGATAATATTTCATACATTTGGTTCCCTTGATAAATTTCGATAGAGAAAGAAAGACCAGATTTACAGTATAAAATGATATCTTTCTGTTTCACAGATTCTCATCAGCTGCACACCACTACATGAAATTACAATGGTTATAAATAATAATATTCCATACTTCATTGTTTGAAAGGTAATAGAGAAAGCATTATAAGATGAACGCATCCGGAATATAAGGATTAAAATTTTACAGTTTAAGTTACCATCAATTTATATACTATCAAACTATGAAAAAGGAAGAAAAAGGGGGGGGGTGAGAGAAGACAGAAAACAGAAAAATCTAATAAAACAGTGTCAACATGGCAACTCAACAAGGTCAAAGTTCATCAATTTGAAAACTTGCTTAGTGAGTTGAGCCCACTAGTGTGTATGACTAATCAGTGTAATGAAAGTGATATGGTTACCAAGGGAGTGAGAGATTGACTACACTCTCTTTCTGTGTGCATAAGTTTCGTCTGAGATGTTTGATTGCAACTGCTTCAGCAAATCGTAGTAGATTAGCTGTCCTTTGTATGTTTAATATTTTGAAGGATTTGGAAATCTCGACAAAATAGCCCGTATCCACAAGGTGTCTGGTAATTGCACGTTGTAAATATTTGCTTCCTTTTAAGCATAAGTTTCTCGCAATATGCCCTGAAAACCGGATAGAAGCCCTTCTTTCTGTCCTTCTGATGAACTTGCTGCCGCAGGTGCACGTAAATTTATAAATGCAGTTGGAGGTAACATCAGCAGGGCACTTATCCAGTTTCGATTGGCTTATAGGGCATGTAGCACTGTATAGTGTGACCAGATTGGCTGCAGGGAAGCATCTCTTGATTGCTCCTTTCATCCTCTTTACAATCTTTTGCGATACTGTTTCTTCTTTGTATGGGAGGCAAATGAACACTTACTTCTTTTCAACTGTTGGATACTTCTCTTTCTCATCTCTTTCTTTGCTGTACTTTGGGATAAATCCCTTTTGGATACCCGTTTTCCTTAAGGCATTTTTCAACAAAGCTTAATTCTTCTTCTTCTATCTTGTTGGGCGAACATAACTTCCTAGCCCTGTCGTACAGTGTCCTTACTAATCCCCACTTTTAGAAATGTCAGTTTTTTCAGAATATTTTCAACGTACAACTTTTATTATTATTATTATTATTATTATTATTATTATTGTTTTCCTCTCTCCTGCATAGATTCACCTCAACGTGCTCCCTCAGTATTAGGTCAATTGCCACCGCCAAATCAACCACCACCCCCACCTCCGCCACCTGCTGTTGCAGCTATGGCATTCGCCTCGAATATGAACATGAATAATAACAATCCAGATCATGCTAGTCATCATAATTCAATGACCACTTATCAACAACAGCAACAGCAGCATCACTTTAATCCTGATTCCCTTTCACGACATATTGGAGGAAGTGGAGGTGTTGGCGCCACTGGTGGCAATTATCATCATCCAACAACAGGCTCCGGTTCTGGTACAGGCTTATTAGTTGGTCCACCGCCAAGAATACGTGATTATTCGGAATATGGTATCCCTCGAGGGATTGGTCTACCGCCAACACCAACAGTTGGTAGCGGGGGCGGTCAACCTCAGTCACTACCACCACAGCATAATGTTCTAATGTCATCACCACCACCACATCCACAGGCGGTACCTTCTGGTGTCGGAGGTGGTATGTACTATGATGGCGGTCATTATCATCGTGAAGGACAGGCATAGACAGAAAGAAGAAGGGGAAGAAGAGGTTTACTTCTCACCCACACACACCCCCACCCTCGCGAATTTATATATACGTACATAGAAACAATCATTTGTTGGTGTGTTTTTCTGCCTTGTTGGACGAAGTTATTATCATTACTGTTATTATTGCTTGATTACGCAACAGTCTTTATCGACAGTGTGTGAGTAGACAGACTTCAAATTATACCCCTTACTCACACACACATGCAACGAGAGACACACTGACTCACAAATTTATGCTTTATATCTGTTGATGGAATGCTGAAAACCATTTTTTTAAATCTGTGCATGTACTCTCTATTGTACTCCAACAGTATGCCATGCCTCAATATTATAATAGGTGTGTGAGGCCTACCAATTAACAAACACATACATGACCTCATTCACTTACTCACTCACTCACTGAATCGATCAATCAATCAATCACATCCAATATGCCTTCCATTTTGTGCATACCTTTTTTTATTTATGAGAAGAATTATTGTGTGTGGGTGTGTGCGTGGGCGTGTTCTAGTAAACTATTCGAATTCATGCATGCATTTTAAAAATTAAACGCTTTTAAATGTGTGTTTTTTGTCGGTGTCTTGTAAACTAGGTCATATTTTGCAAAATAATATTATTCTATTTTATTTTTTGTTTGTTTATTTATCAACTTTTTCGTGTGTGTTTTTTGAATTTTTAAAAATTGTATTCTTCTTTAACCCCCACCCCTCGCGTCTCTCTCTTTCTTTGTCGTGTATCTTTCTGTCCGCTTCTATTGTAGATATGTGACAATCACAGTTGTTTTTTAAAAGATCGATCTCATTCATGAATAAATAGAAATGTATACCCCTGCCCCGCCGCTCGCCTCGACGTCTTATGTAATCAATCAATCAATTAATCAATAAATTGATCGGTTAGTTGATTGGTTGGTTCGTTGGTTGGTTGATTAGTTAATGGGGAGGAGATCCAAGAACCAAAATATCAATTGATAAAATTAGTTGATATGTGATCATTGTGATCTCATTCATTGTGTTCATGGAGTGGAGGAGGAGGCGTTCATCGAGGCGTGTGTGGGAGTTGGAATTTATGAATTCAAATCTTCACCAGGCATTTTTCTTTATCAACAATGTCTGTCTTACCTACCTATTTATGTGTGCTTTTGTGTATGAACTTTGTAAGGAAGAGAGAGTTGGTAAAGCAAACTCAAATTCTTTTTACCACTTGGACCACTATTACTATTAATTATTGATTATTAACGACTTCTAATAATGTACAGTTAGCATTTGTTTGTATTTTTCGGTTTTTCATTTTCCCCCACCGCCGCCACCTCCACGAACACATGCACACACACTTACTTAGACATGCATGAATGTACCAACAGATGAGTGATAACACACACCTGACCGTTGAGATGGGTGGGGGAGAGGGTTGGGGTGATTACGGAATATGATTAACCACCGTCACTTATTTATTGATTTATTGCCGTTATTGTTAATAATATTTCGTGTTTTCGTCTTTGTTATGTAACATTGATTAAATAATAATAATATACTGAGCCAGTGTATGATGCATGTACCAACACCCACCATGGTCTACTATTTGTTCTGTTTGTATTCACACTCTCTTTACCCCGGTTTTTGTTATTATTACTATTATTATTGTTCTGTCTGGTCTCCCCTACACTCTCCTACTTCGACTACTCTATCTGTGGTTTCTTTTATATTCCCCTAAACAGCCGATTTTTTATTTATTTATGGAACCATTGTGTTGGTGCTGTTGTATGTGTGTGTGTGCATGCTTTGCTTCCGTGTACAGATTTACTGTGTGCGTGGGCGTACGTGTGTGTGTGTATTTCCTGGCTGAATGTGTAAAATTCTGCTGTATATATATGCAGATATCTACATAAAAATAATAATGATGTAATTATATATTATCAATGTGTTTTTATTTTTGTCTGGTCTTTTTGTTTCTCTAACCTTAACAACCTGCCTTATTTTATTCGCCAATCTGAATATTACTCACATAGCTACCGCTGCTGCTGCTTTTTCATACGATTTATCGATTACCAACGTGCACACACACACACGCGCACACGGGGAAAAAAGATCTACACAAACTTCATATAATGCCTTCCTCTCATTTTTCCCTTTTTTTCTGTGCGTCTTATGTTTTTTATTTCTTCGTGTACATGGGATCGTGGTGGCGACGGCCTTGGTGATGAGAGGGGTGGTAGTGAAAATCCCGGTTTGATGTGTCTGTTTGTGTGTTTGATAGGTGGAAGTTAAAAAGGGTAAACCTCTCCTCTTCCTCCTTCTATTAGCATTTCCCCTTCCCCATCTCCTTTTTTATGTTACTAATATTTCATGGAGATCATGGCGATCGCCGCCACTGCCGCTGTTCTTGTTCCTGTTGTTGTTGTTGTCAAATGTAACGTTAATGTCTTGTTCTGCTGTTCCGTCTCTCTCGATCAGCGTCTCTTCATCGTATATTATAAACACTTTGTAATTGCGTTTTGTGTCTACCACTAAACAATTAGACACTTTTGAGCATTTTTTTAAAAATTTGTGTATTTTATTCCCTTCCCTCTGCGTCCCATCCCCATCTATGCTGTTATTGTTCCATCGACTTCCTCTTCTTCCTCTTTTTTTATTGATTTTATTGAGCATTACTTCCACTCCTACAATGAGGACGAGGAGGAGTAGGAACATTGACGACACGGTAACAAGCGATTAATTACACATACAATCATCAATGTTGCTAATTTATGACATATTATGTAGTACTATTATTATTTTTTTTTAGTAATAATAATGATAATCATATATATTGAAAATGTATTTTATCCTTGTTTGTTTGTTTGAAGTGCTTTTTAATGATGTTGCATTATTAATAACAATAATATTAATATTATTATTATTATTACCATTACTACTACTACTAATATTACTTACTGTGTAAAATAATCTTTAATTATTATTATTATATACACGACAATAAATAAATTAATCAATTAATTAATTAATGAGTACATTTCATAGTTCTTTTTAATTGTGAAAATTCCCATTCCTCAGAAGATGGTGGTTAGGACGCTCACCGACCATGAACATGGTCTGGGATTCGATCCTTGGTTGGCCTGCTAAAAATGCTGAAAATTCCATAGTTGTGGAATCAAGTGTGTTGGAGCGCTAAATCACAAATTGGTAGAAGTTAGAATTCATGGGTTGATCATTGAGAAGTTGGGTCCGAGTGGCTGAATGGTATATGGGCTCAGTGGCCTTGTATCCGGTAGGTCCTGGGTTCGAACTCTGGCAGTGGGTACGTACTGCCGATGATTCCCAAAGTAGGATGAAACAGCTAGCTGTCTGGCAGTACTCCCTAACTGGTTTTCCAATGGTTCTCCAATTAGATCTTCCTCAGACTTTGCTCTAATTTACATAGATTTATATGTAAAAATTTTTAACCAATGACGGTGATTTTGTGGATCAAATAATAGTAATAATAATGTGGTAAATGTTTTGGACGTAGTTAATAACGATGATTATAATGGTAACAAAATATTGATAATATGGTTTATGCAGGTAGCGATAAGAAAAACGAAGGTAGTAATATGTGTGTATATATGTAGACAATTCAATAGTAAAATCAGTTAGGTCAAATCTTAAAAGTTACGTAATACTAAAGGTGAATTAGAGAGATAATCAGAGTTTAAATAAATATCATAAAAATACGAAGCAGGTAGAAAATAAGAAAGGGTGGGAGGGTTTTAATTCGAATTCACCTAGGCCAAGGGTGATACAAAAGTAGAACAAACTTCTATTGTATGCAAAGGCATTAGGATTGTTCTCTTGAATTAATTCCCATAACTTCGGCTATGTGCGTAAAAGGTGGGTTCAAAAGGTTAGGTGGAATATGTGGTAGGCAATCTTGAAGGCACTACTTTTGTCCACTTGGTGACCGCTATCAATCAAATGAGTTAAAATAAAACTTCGTATCGATTTTATTTGACCTTTTCCGAACCATGAATGAAGATGCTCATTAATGCGTTTGTTAAGCTGTCTAGTTGTTCGCCCCCTATATAGCTCTCTCCACAGGAGCAACTAAATTTGTAGATACACATAGAAGTGGCACAGCTAGGTAGCGTGTCTTTCACTTGAGCAATCATGATTGGTCGACAGCTGGAAAATGACAAACAAAGGTTGGCGGCAGTATAAGTCCATTTTATTGTTCTCGATAGTCTCAGATTTAAGACTTCACTAGACATATCCCAGTTAAATTGCAATTTCATGAACAGTTGTTTCTTAGGACTGTCGCTGACCATGCACATAGTTCGGGGTTCGATCCCCTGCCGACGCACACCCGATATCGATGGTCGGCCTGCTAAATTTGGGCTACCGATATCACATGCTGAAAATTCCATACTTGTACTGAAAATACGGTGTGGCATCAAACTGTAATCAAAATTAAAAAAATAAATATTAGTTGGTAAATTTGATCTATAGTGATGTATTTATAATAAATGGGTAGGAAAGTTCCAGAATAATTTCCATTCAAGGGTCAGATTGATAAAATTACAATTAGAAAATAAAATGCCATAATAAACAGGGGGTGGGGTGGATAAAACTCAAACAAAGTAGCATCATAATTACTGAGAAGATTAACATTGATTGTGCAACTGGGGGTTAGAAATGTAGAAATAACAAAAATAGACAGGATGTTTGGATAAGAAAATCTAGTGGGATCATAACTAATGTGATGAATAATTGTTTATGCAATTAGGGATTAAATATGTAGAAATAATAAAATGACAAAATAGACTGGAAGTTCGGATATGAAAATGTGATAGTGTGAATAGGGATTAAGCAAAACTTTAAAGTAACATGAATAAACAGGAAGTTCGGATAAGAAAGTCAATGGTATAGTCACTATTAAAAGAATTACCTGTTTATGATGGCCATGGCAGGGACAATGGTTGAACGTATTTATTTTGGATACATAGC